TCCAGATGGTTTTGCTGAAGTGCATGTTTACGGATTCCTGGAGATTGTGCGGAGTGAGGCTGCACCGGTCTGTCCTTCATTAAGCCACTCAGAGCATGGAGGCTTTTATCACGACAGACTGCGCTTTCATAACGACATGTTGCCGGACACACAGCGTTTCTGTGTCTGCGCTACTGTGCAGAGCGAGCCTCCTCATTCATGGCCGATAGAGAGGATGTTAAATGCTCCTTTTAAAGTGCTGAGACGTTAGAGTTGAAGCTAACGCCTGCAAGGGGCCTTTTGCTTGTTGTATGACTGCACCCTTCAGCTGCAAATGTTTCAGATAACATCAATGATTTTTGGTTAAACTAGGCCTGTTAGAGACTGGTTCCTTTGTGCATTTGCGCCAAAAAGCTAAAAATGTATAACATAAAAGTTCTCATTGTGATTATTTTTATTTTAAACTGACAGAACTGACAATTTTCATAAACTTTAGTATTGCTGTGGCCTATATGCACCTTTATGGTAGTTCTGCCTTGAATTTTAATCAAGAAATCCCTCATTTCTAAAACACAGAGAGAACTACACTGAGCAGATATTGCAACAAGTCTTTTTATTTTGTTTATTTATGTATTGATTGATTGATATATTAGTCATATTAATGCCATTTCCATTCTAATTAGTTCTGAAATGTTGCACTATTTGTCAGTGCAGACTGTCACACGGTGTCTTCTGGTTTGAAAATCATCAGGGGGCTGACTGAGCAGTTTAGTATGAGGTGATCTTTGTAGCGGAGAAGTATGGAAAAATGTTTCTGTTCAGCGATTTATGCTCCTGCAAAGTTCTATGGAAAATAGTTTTGTTTCATGCAATCAAATTTATCAGAAAAACAAAAAACAAAACATCTATAGTTTATTTGTCTGCGTAAGTCTGTGTCCCTTCATCACTGATGTGGACAGGTCTTCTACTGTGTGTTGTGGCTGTGGGTCCTTTTTGCTGCTAACACTCACTGGGTTCCAGTGTGCACTATGACGCCTCGTATGAGGTCAGAGAGAGGACAGCAGTCCTACTTCCCATTTTCCTTCACCCCCCCCACTCCCCAAACAAGCACCACTACAGCAGACCAACTTAAGCTTTAGCTTCCCATAATGCACCTCTCTAGCCAACTGACCCCAAGGTCGGCAGCTGTCAATCTTAGCCTCAGCTGGCTCTACAGCTTCTGGACATTGACTGGAGGATGTGAGGGAGGCCTCTGAGAGGAGCCCCGGCTCTGCATATGGGATCATCTCTGTGCATTCATGGTGCCTAATTAAATTAGCAATCCTTCTCCTATTCTAATGCAAACCTCAGGTTGAATCGCCACCCTGAACGTGAGAGGAAAGGCCCCAGGCACTGATACCCGGACAAAGACAGCCAAAGCTGTACTTCATTCTAGCTGGCAGTCTGTGATGGTATCCATGTGGCAGGTGGATCGTAGCAACCCCTCCATCTTCTTGCCTGCTTTTGGGGTGGGATGGGGCTGTTTTGTTGTTGTCTGGGTGTTGGGGGCGGGGGGGGGGGGGGCGGGGGTACTGAGAAGACTAGGTCACATGTGACAAACTGTATTTCACCTTCATATTGCACTGATAAATTATTGCATGTACGTCTTAAAGGCATTGAGCCTGAATATTTTCTCAGCAGACTAGGTGTGTTGGTGTTGGTGGTGTGTAATGTGTGCTGTGCTGTGTGTGTACGTTGTGTGTGTGTGTGTGTGCTTGTGTGTGTGTGTGTGTGTGTGTGTGTAAGTGAGAGGATGTAAGGTTTCACAGGTCGCCCTGTAGACGTGGAAGTGACTTTAGCTTGAGGGCTGCACAGTGTGCAGTGAGAGTGCAGGGTCACCTTTATCCTATCTGTCTGTGCCCAGAGCAGGGAAGGCAGTGGAAGGAGGTTGGGGTGGTGGTGGTGGTGGTGGGGGGTTGTAGGACTCCCAACAGGCTGAACTGATTTCCTGTACAGGGTCATGCCCAGGACAGACTTGGAGGACAAGGGTTTAAGACCGCAGGGAGTAGCGAGCGGCACTGGTCATGTCACATACCAGGAGAGTTGATGCTATTTTCTGCTATTTCAGTGTTTTTAACCAACACATACTTACATACATACATACATATCTGTCTGATTTACTCAGATTTGCACATAATGTGCTCGTTTAATAATGGAAAAGTACATTACTTGGTTTAAGGCTGGAATTTCAACATCTATTTTAGTCTAAAAGTAGGAGCTTTAAGTTCTTGAATGAATGGATCCTCCTCAGCACAAAGATTGATTAGCCAAGCCACAGCACACATGAATTTCTATATAGACCTAAAGAAGACCTTGATTCCTCAACAAATCTAACATACCCGCACAATCCACTGCATCTTGTGTTCTCTTGATGCAATATTCATATAAACACTGTAACCTGGGGCAGCTCAGAGATCATAGCATGGTCCTTCTTCCTCTTGCCCACATTTCTGGAATGCATTTACTCAGCTGGGTCTGTGAAAGAGAGCTCTGCTGCCTCGGGCCACTGAGGGCATGCTTGTCATGAGATTTGAGGAGCATATATACGTGGCTGCAATGTGTACATCTTAAAACTTGTACACCTCTAACGGTGTTAAGAGGTTTTTAATGGTGGTCAGCCAGACAAGTAGGCAACTACACCTAAGCTTAAATTTATGAGGAGGAACACACTTAGAGTGTGGGAGGATAAAAGGTGGCACTGTGGTTGTGATTAACATGACAACTCGACTGACCCACACATGTTAATCTAAGTCATGTTACTCATAAATGTCATTATGCCTTATATCTAAGGTCACTAATCATTTTAAACTTTAAGGGGCTCTTCTCTTTAATACAAACAGCATTGTCTTTGAGATTCGAGTCCAGAAAAAGTTTTGTTTTATTCCAGAAACACACTTTTTGTGAGAGAATGGGTAAAAGAGGGAGGTTATTTTTTTATCATCTGCTCACTCCATAATGGACAGTGATTGTTATTAATATATTTCTCATTGATTCATTTGGCGGATTTGTTTTTTGTTTTATTTCTTTTTACAGAAAGAATTGCAAGTTTTCTCAGATTTCTTTAATTTTTTTGTAGCTCACTTTGTGAGCAAATTTCTTTCTGCAGAGAATTCCCCACACTCAGCCGCATGGAAAGTGGATACGCTGATACTGAAGAGCATAAACTGGAATTGTAGGAAGCTCATGTGGCCTCTCTGGCCAAATGGACCCTTGTTTACGCACTTGTCCATCACTGGAGCCGTGTGAGGCCTCAGGTATCCAGAGAGATGTCCCCAAACCCAACAGCACCATGGCAGAACCTGGTAAGTGCACAGTGTTTACATGAGGTTTGTCTAGATCAGAGATAAGGTTTTAATCAAAAAGCCTTTTCAGTTAATGCTGAGCCTGTTTCTGAGGATGTTTTCATCTAAAGGGCAAAAATGAAACATTGATCTAGTGCACAAAATATAATTTTATGACCTTATTTTTGATATCGCTGTTTTATAGTAGAAGACTCTTATTAAAGCCGATGTCACGTAGTTAACAGGACAAAAAGAAGAAAAAAAGGCACAATCTAAGAATAAAATGGCATAATTAAAACTGTGTATCAGCAGGGAAATGTTATGAGCCTCATAACTATTGTTTTGTTTTTATTATTTCTTTCACTATTATTTAGCACAGCCGCATGAACTCGGCTTCATAGTTTAGAGGAGAACGACACACTGAAGACTCATGCACACACACATGCAACAAACTTGGTATTTTGCATTTAATCTGTCTGACTTCTACGGTAACAATTACCGATATTTCGGCCGATTACTGTTTCAGAGATGGCTGCTTATTGAGGGGTTTTTTTCTTACTCCCATTTTGTAAGTGGATTAGAAATGTTCTTGCGGTTAAAAAAAAGCATTTCATACCGCCTCTAAAATCTCGTCCTTTACAAACGAGCTCCTGGAAAGGATATGTACTCTTTAATATATATTTATAACATTTTTTAGTCACCGACAGCGTATTTTTAACGAACACAATTTTATAATTTTCATGATCTATTAAAAAAAAGCAAAAACAAAAGAAATCAAAAGAAAACAAACAAAACAAAACCAAACAAAAAAAGGTTATCACAGTGGAAAAAACCCCACTTTTAATGTTTTTATCAGTAATTACCTTATTTGATCATTTATAACAATTTTATCGTCCCAGCGACGTCGGAATTCATTTGAACGGACACCGCAGACACCAAAAGCAACACTAGGGCTTTTCCCCATTTGTTGAAAGTCATTTTAATATCACAAATAAAAGTCACAAAACAGTGAATACTATTTTTTTCTTTTATTTAAAAAGATATATATGTCACCTTTTCTGGTCACAGGACAAGTTTATATATGTATCATCAATAGGATGTACAAAAAAAATAAAATAAAGAAAATAACGTTGCTACGTATTCAATACTTCATACCTGTTTTTCATATAGATCAGAATTATAATATATATAATTTTATATATATATATATATATATATATATATATATTAGAATGAAAAAAAATTAAGTTCAATGAAATAAAGAACTAACGGGCAGAGTTATGGTTTCCACCATTTTTATCGTTATTATTATTATTATTATTATTTTTTATCTTGTCACTTTTCTGTGCGTAAACTGCACCGTCTGATGCCTGCCTCTCCTGTCTCGCTTGATTTCGTGATTAGGATCGTAACAGCATATGAAACAGAAATTAAATGCTTAATTGGAAGGACAGAAACCACACGTGATTGAATTTTTGGCGGATTATGTCAGACTTGTGGAGAAACGCTCTCTCTCTCCCCCTACCTCGCTCCTTTTCTCTCTCTGTCTTGCTCTCTCTCTCTCTCTGTCTGTTTGTCTCTCGCACACACACGCGCGCGCGCACACAAACATGTGCGCGGGCGCGCGATCAGTCCCGGTTTCACGGGTCTTTGTTTCTGATCTGTTAAATCCCACCCACTTGACATGAACATAGAGGAGAAAAAAAATCTCTCACTCGGGCGCCCACGTTAACGGCACCCAGTTGCTGTTGTCGACACAGCCTGCTGGACCTGTAAGATGGAGACGGAGAGCTGTTTGCCTTTCTCTTCGCAGACCAGCAGGAGGACGCCAACAAACTCTCCGGGACTCGAGCACGGCGGCTCCAGCTCCTTTCTCCCCTGCGATGAGCTCCAGAAATCGCACCTTCCTCCGCCTTCTCTTCCACACCGTCTCAGCCTGAGAGGGGATCTCTACACGACCGCAATGGGGAGGTTTGGTGATGCTGCGGTGGACTTTACGCACGGCGCTTCTCCAGCGAACCCGACCGGTTCACCGTCCAAACACAGCAAGTTCTTGGACAGTATCAACCAGGACCAGAAAGGGGTGGCAATAAGCGGCAAACCGTCGTTTTATGAGAACAACACGGACGGTGAGTTAAAGAGTTTTTGAGTGAACATTTACTGGAATTAGCCGCGTCTTAACTATCTCAGTTTTAACTAAAACAAAGTGCAGTAGCTTGATAGCGGGCTTTGGATCAAATAAGAATCATTAAAAGTACTTTACGTTTGATTTGCCCCACCTCCTTTTTAAATTTTATTTAATTTTTTGTAACTTAGGTTTTTCTAAAGAAAATGCTCGCCATCATTCACTTGGCAATTGGTTGAAAAAAATAAGTAAATGGGAAAATCAAATATGGAAATCACTTTACACTTTTTTTTCTGGTTATTCAATTCAGTGGATCCTTTTTACAAATTATTTTTAGTATGCTGCATTTTGTGTACTTTTCATATAGTAATAAAAATAAAACAAAAGTGCATTTATGCAAAGAAAAGTGTGGTTGCAATAAAAATGTCACCAAGTTTTCTTTTTTCACTTAACAGTCCTTGATGTGAAGTTATAGAGGTTAAAGGTCAGCCTAACAGCAAGTTGGGTGTGTCATTAGACTACTACTCTTCTTTTCAGGCCAGCACTCAGCTTGGTATCTCTGTGTTTTTGCAGACGCTCACGCTTTCAGTTTCTCCTTCTTTTGCAGACTTTTTGGTCACACAAAACAGAACTGACTTTGTTTTGCAAGCACGGAGTTGCACAAATGTCAGACACGATCGCCCACAAATGTCCATCTTGGGAAGGAAAGCAACCGCTGTATATGTTGAACTGAAGCCTGAAGAAATTATGTGGTCTTTCACTTTGTTTATTGGTGCCGATGATTCTGCAAAGCAGCAGAGGATATCAGCCCCGATAAGCTTCTTGTTATATCAGTGTCCAGAATAATATACATTAGTTTCATTCAAGTTCATGCCAAAGACAGCGAACACATTCATTAAATTTTCTTTTGCGCAATTACTTATGATAACACGATAATATCAGCCGGCTTCTTTCGAAATTAACTTTTATTTTAATTCTTGCTCAAGGAAAATGAGGTGTGCGTGCTTCCCCTTTTCCTTTTCTGTCTTTATCTCGTGCGCACACACAGACATGCGCAAGATTTCCACTCATAACTACTTAAATAGTTTGATTTATTTTGCAGTTTAATGCTTATTGGTGCGAGTGTGTAAACCAGCGCACGTACGTGCAGAACACGTGCGCGCGCGTGTGTGTTCTTACGTTTTCTCTTTTAAACTTTCAAAAGCAGACGCGTCTTCCTGTTTCGTCTGCAGTGAGAGGAAAGTTTAACGCAAAAAAACCCAAAACTTTTTTACATTGGTTTGTAATATTTTCTAGTTTTTCGCAATCAACTATATTCTACTATAAAAGTTGAAAAAAATTAGAACGGTCAGATTTTAACTCAGTTTTGGTGATCAGCCGATCTGTGGCATCGGTTCACAACAAGCTTTATCGTCGGGCACTAAAAGATTAAAATTTTAAAAATACTATATAGAAAAAACCCAACGATTCTGAAATGCAAAAGCACTCCTTTATTTTTGCTTTTCTTTCTTTCATTTGTTATTTGGGAAGATGTAAATTCTTTTGGTGAAAAGAGAAAAATTCAGTTTTAATGATTGCACGTTGTTTTTGCATTTATTAGACTCATCTTCGTTGACACTCATTTTCTTTACGTCTGTTTGTTTGTGTTTGTGACTGTGGCGTAGCTGCCACAGTTGAGTTTTTTAGATAAACTGCATGCACAGGCTTAATATTTCTTTTATTATTCCTATTTTACTCCTCAGAAATATGCCACACACACCTTCATTTTTTTCCAATCATGTTTAACCTTCTTATACTCCACAGATACCATGTGCTATAATAACTTAATATTTTAACTGTGCAACTTAATAACTTACTACACGAATCACGGCTAATAAATATTCTTTATTCAGAACTGAACAAATTCAGAATGTTTTAAAACCTCGGAGTAACATTTTGTCCAAATTTAAGACAAATTTAAAACATTAAAATCCACAGCAAAATGCCTGGAAAAATGCCATTTAAATTTCCACAGTCGCAAAACAATAGCTCATCGTGCTCGCAGCATGATATTCCTGCCTTTTCATTTTGAACTTATCTCCTTTTTGCCTTTTCCTGCATTTCATATAGATCTCCAATTACACTTGAGTATAGTCATAGCGGATATGGGTGCTTGACAAGGTAAAAGCTCAATGCCCCCTTTTTTTTCCTGCAGTTGAGTATATTTTCAGCATGTGGTGTAAGGTTGGAACTAATGGACTTGAGGAAATTAATGTTGCAATAAAGAGTGTTCTCTGTTGGGCCCTATATTGAATTAAGAGCACAGCAAAGTAGTGTTTCAGCTGCCCAGAGTGAGTGAGTGCCTCCTGAAAGATGGAAAGTGGTTTTGTTTCGTAGCTCAGGGTTAAACATAATGAACTTGGACAACAACATCCAAACACTGCAGGAGGAGCCCTTTCCATGGTCTGTTAACAGGAAGGAAAGTAACGCTTTGAGATTTTCCCTCACTCCTGAATGTAAATGGCAGAATATATAGAATTAGTCCAAAACAATCATGTGCTTTAACAGATAAAAAAAATTGTGTTTCTCTTAGACTTTCTCTACATGCAGTGTAAAGAGCCTGGGCGGGACTGTTGCTGTGTATTGCTGCTGTATAAATAACAGTTAATTCCTCTCTTCAGATATTTGTGACATATTTCAACAAGTTCCTATCAAGTGTAGGTGACCCTGAAAATGCCCTTTGTTCTGCATATTTTAATCAGCAGGTTAAAGTTTAGCCAGCTTTTTGAGTATTTTCTACTTAAGTATGGCTTGTCTGGCTAATCGGAGTAAATCTGAATTTGTGTTGCTTGTGCATTTTCTCTGGCGGCTCACAGTTTTTAGTATAATTTGGGACTATTTTCTCAAACTGAGAAAATAGTCACATACATCACAGACAAAACTTTTGATGTGATACACAATTTGTGTTTATTTTAACTGCAGTGTGTTGGTTTTAAAATGTGTCCATGTGGGCCAAAGCTGTTTCCAGGTGAGCTGTGCTGGTTTAAAAAGGACTGCTCATCTCTATTTCTTTGCACAAGGGCCTGAAAAACCTTTCAGCAACTTTGTATAAACTATGTGAAAAGAAAAAGGAAAGTACACAAAATCAACTCTTTCTGACCAACAGGTCATAAAGGCCAAAATGAGCAGCAGCAAGACAAACAAACCAGATCATTCATTATGTTTGCAGAGATTTGTACTTAAACAATTATAAAATCTAAATCAAATTTGGCGTTCCATAAAAAGTCATTTAAGCTGTATCTTCAGGCAATGATAGTCTCAAATGATTAAATTTCAGTGTATATATTGATGCAGATGAACTTAGAAAAAAACTGTTAGACTTTGTATATGATTTTATATTTTTGTTTAGTGGATGTGTAACTTTTCCTTTGCGTTTTCCTGCCTTGCTTCAGTTCGGGACAAAGGCACTCCAAAAACCATGGGCTATCCTGGGATTGTCACGGACTGTTGTGGCAAGCTCAAAGAGCCAGGCAGTGGTTTACAAGGAGATTCTATCGCTGACTCCATTGACTTATCTGGCAAAAACAAGAAGCGACGTAATCGCACGACCTTCAGCACATTTCAACTGGAGGAGCTGGAGAAAGTGTTTCAAAAGACACACTACCCCGACGTGTACGCCCGGGAGCAGCTGGCGCTGCGGACGGAGCTCACTGAGGCTCGGGTTCAGGTATGCCAGGGCAACTCCATCACAGTTGACACCTTTTTTATTTTCTAAATGTAATCAGAAGAAAGTATGATGCCCTAACAAAAAGTTGTCTTCTGGAAATTTACTGTTATACTATTTTGTGTTATAATATATTTTATTTTTAAAAGGTTTGGTTCCAAAATCGCAGAGCTAAATGGAGGAAACGAGAACGCTATGGGAAGATCCAGGAGGTTCGCAACCATTTTGCTGCTACATATGACATTTCTCTACTTCCTCGCCATGACGCATACCAGGTAGGCCAATGTAGCTCTCACATGGCATGCATGTTGTAGTAGTAAACTTAACATCATAAAACCTGCTGAGAGATTGCTTTTTGTTTTCACTGTACAGGACTGAACAATATTAAAACTTTTGCTGATATCATTCTAAATCTCTTCCTATCCAGATGCAGGGCAATCTGTGGCCGGGGGCAGCTTCAGGAGGAGGCGGTGGTTCGGGTGCAGGCTGTGTCCTAGGGGCTGACTCTATCTCCTCATCCTGCATGAGTCCGTACCCTCACCCCCACAGTAATCTGCAGGGCTTCATGGGCATGCCCACATCATCCAGCCACCCGCACCATCACCATCACCCGCCTCACCATCCAGGCATCAACAGTCTCTATTCTCTCCACGGCTTCCCAGGAGGCCTCGGGTCGCCTTCCATCGAGGGCCCCGAGACCGAATACAAGCCAACAGGCCTGGTGGCGCTGAGGATGAAAGCCAAGGAACCAGGCAGCATCCTCTCCTGGCCAACATGACCATAATAATGCCAGCTCCCCATTATGCACTGACTGAGCCGCAGCATATTACAGTCGTCACCCATACACGATCCCAGATGTACATTTGTGGATTTGACTCGAATATTTCCTCCAAACATTTATATAAATCAACTTAGAGACGTGTTGCTATTCAGAACTGTTGGAACAGGCATTTTGCAAACAATAAGGCCAACTTGAGAATCTTGCACAAAACCCAACTTATTAATACAAACATTCTTGTTTCCAGTTCTTATTTTGTATCACAGTGCTGAGACCAAAGAGGAGAATTATTTAAGCATGTAAAAAATGTATCATATTAATCCCTTTTAATGTCTGTTGTGTTGTGCGTGAGTAATAAAGGGCTCCATGTAAATTTAACTGTCTTATTCAGCAGCAAACTATTTTGGGGAAGATGGATTTTCTTTTTCTTTCTTTTTTCAAAATGAACAAAAACCATCTCAGTTATAATTATTTTAGCCATGACTCTTTTGCAAAACAATAGCCACGTTTGCAATGCAAATATAACTGGCAATGTGGTTATGAGGTAAAAATACTTTACAGGCTGTGGAGAAAAAAAAGGTTTCTGCTGTGCGGAAAGTGTACAGAGTGAATGTGCAGCCTGCTAGGCTTCACTTCAAGTTGCACTCCATGCATCAGGGGAAAGTGGCAGGTTCATAATGGAAAAACTAACCTGGTGACCACACTTCACTACTGATAATAAAGTAGATAACCACAGATGGTTATGTATTTGTCATGCATGTCCTACCATGTGAGGTGTTTAATCGATTACTGTGGCTCGCAGCATATTTTGTATGCTGAGGCCAGGTCAAGGTCAAATGTCTTCTGCATCCATGTGTACAAGCAGAATAGAACAGAAATATACTCACATTATCCTGAATGCTGTCCTAATAATCGTTTTCAGAAAAATCTCCCCAAACAATTTGTGTTATTGTCAAGGAAACATTGAATTGCACGGTACATCCCATATGGTGTGAATTACTAAATGCCAGTGCATTCATGTCAAACTGGCAAACATTTCAATCTGTGAGACTGATGTGAATTGAGAAAAAGAGTTTCACTGCGGGACAAAGCCCCGCCAAGCTGAACTCACTCCCCGGGAGTGTGCATGGCTTTCAGGGGAATATATTGGCTCCCCTTTGTCTTTGCCTGCTTCGGTTTGACGGCGATGCAGGGGCGGATTAGCTGCCTTCCCCTAAGTCTGTGCCGGAGTTTCCTGAGAGCCACTAACATGTGGTTCCAATATGCAGAAAGCCATCAGAAACACTTTCCACACCCACAGCTTCAAATTCCAGCCAGTCCCTGGGAGACGGCAGCTCTCACTGCAGTCACATAGTCCCCTTGATTAATTCCCAGATTAAGAGGAGAAGATAAGAAGACCTGTCAGAAGGGATAAGGGATTGAGGAGATTGCTGTGTTTAGGAAAGCTAGAGAAATAGCAGATGGTGGATCAGAGCTTAATTTTGATATTTATTTTTACAGTGTGAGCAGGTTAATCAAATCCACCCGTAAACAAAAGAGGAAGCTTGGTGGTTTACTGATTTTGATATTTTTATTCCTTAAAACAGTCAGAACAGCTGTAATAGATTAACTCAGGGGCTCATGATCATAGTTTGGCTTATTCTACTTCAAAAATGTCTCAGAGTGAACACACGGTGATGTCATTTCACTATAGGGGGCCATAGGTTTTCATCAAGCTCTCATTAAAGTTATCATGCTGTTGCATTGGCTTTGATCTGTGTTAAATCAATGTATCAGGATCCAAAGAGCCTCTATGAGTTTTTCAGAAAGAAATGAAAAATGATGAGTCATCGCTGCACAATGCTAGAGCTAATCATCACTCAGTATGTCAGGGTTGCTAGCTGTAGGCTGTCACAAGAGCCTGGAAGCTAGTATCCCCTCGGCCTCATTATTTGACTAAAAAAATATGATTTAAGGCTCATTAAAGTCTGTAAAGCTGACTGCTGGCCACTGCTCTGAGCTTTGATCTCAACAAGATTGATCTTGGCTTCAAGGTGCAGCTATTGAGACACAACAGATAAGCTACTTTTATTTAACATATCCCACTAAGGTAAACAAAGTAGTGCACTGTGTGATTGGCTCAGTTTCAGCAGTTTGTCAAAGCTGCTTCCAAAATTTTATCGCTAGGAAAAATGTTTTGGCAGTTCATTCGAGAAAATCAAATATTCAGAATATAAAATGTTTGTGCCGAAGTGCAAACAGCAGTGCTTGATTTGAGCCAAAGCATGACTTGTAAAAAATGGGGAAATACTGTGAGACATTAAAGAGCAGACATTAGTAGGTTGTGACGCTTTCAACTTAAAAACTAAAGTGTTTTAATCGTCTCCATGAAAAGGCTGTAATATCTACTGCTACATGTGGCCTACACTGTAGCAGATATTAGTCAATATCAGCAGCTTGATTTGCTCATATAGTTGCCAGGAAAGGCCCTTTCCGCTCAACGCTAAGGGGAGTGGGCTGCTGCACTTTCTGTTCAATACTGCCATCTTGTGGTATTGGATCTAATTGAAGATAAAAGGATTATCTGCTCGCCCCACACCATAATTAAGTCTCACCTCCCGGGAAAAACGAAATGAATAATATTCTGACAAAACCTGCCCACAGTATTATGCTACAGTTAACAGTGAATGGACAGCAGAAACTGGCGTTGTGATATAAGCAATAAGATTTATCTTAAGTCTTAAGGTGCAGCCATTTAGACCTAACAAATAGGCCACTTTTATTTAAATAAGTAGAATAGCATACGGCTCAACAAAATAAAAATATAATATGACAATGCAAGTGTCTTAATAAGGTAAAAGCTTTTCTGAAATTTCAAAGGAAGACAAAATACAAATAAAGTAAAATGTACGTTTATATTTAAACAAAGACAAACAATTTCGATAACTTATTTATTAGTTTTTTATTTTATACTCAATTTATTAAGAAAATATAAGAATATAGTGCCTGCCGCTGGGTGATTGACGTGCGCTTTAAAGCTTCCCACCCACTTTCTAACCAATCAGAACGAAGGGGTGGGTCTTCGAGCTAATCTTTACAAAATGGCGACTGTTGTTGTTTTGCCGCAGGGTCAGTGAATAAACCCGTTTTTCACTTCAGTAAATTTCTGCATTAAGTTGCAGAAACAATCGCACCAAGGAAGAGCAAGTGTCCCGACGGTCGACACCGAGTGGGCCGAAATGAAAGGTAAAGAGCGGTCGCCGATTAAAAAACGCTCCCGGGCCCTGGACGATATTCGAGACAGGGGAGGATGCCATCCGACCAGCAAGAAAATGGGGGCTCTGTCCGTTTCCAGTGGGAGTAATAATGGAAACAGTTCGTCCAAAGGCGACGGCGGCTCGACAAGACGGAGTCTCCTCGGGGAAAAAAGAGACCGAGATTTCGACGGTCACAGCCGGACTGGAAATAATCACAGTTGTCAGTCTGCAGCTGCCGCCGCCGCTGCAGCGAGCTCCGTGGGCAAAAACCACAACCTGAGCCTGACGCTGGATTTAGCCTCACCAAGGACCACCTCTCGGGGTGAGCCGCGGTTGCAGCCACCCAGCACAGAGAGTGAGTACAAAACGCTCAAAATCAGCGACCTCGGCACTCAGCTTAGCGACGAGGACATCGAGGACGGACTCTTTCACGAATTTAAAAAATTTGGCGATGTGAGCGTCAAGATAGGTCGTAGCAACGACGAGCGGATAGCCTTCGTAAATTTTAGGAAGCCGGAGGACGCCAGAGCGGCTAAGCACGCCAGGGGACGGCTGGTGCTGTACGACCGGCCGCTGAAAATCGAGGCGGTCTACATCAACCGGAGGAGAAGTCGGTCTCCGGTGGAGAGAGACGTGTACGGTGCGGCTCAAAGCCACAGACATTTGCAGAGACCCCTCTCGCCCACCGGGCTGGGATATAGAGACTACCGGCTGCAGCAGCTAGCCTTGGGACGGCTTCCTCCACCCCCACCCCCACCTTTGCCGAGAGAACTGGAGCGGGATAGGGAGTTCGCTCTGTTTGAAGCCAGAGCACGCCCAGCCTTCATTGCAGAACGGGCAGCTTTCCGAGAAGAGGATTTTATTTCTCCAGAAGATGACCAAAGAGCTAATAGGACGTTGTTTTTAGGCAATCTGGATATAACTGTCACAGAAGCAGACCTCAGGAGGGCCTTTGACAGGTTTGGAGTCATAACAGAAGTGGACATTAAGAGACCAACACGGGGGCAAACCAGCACGTATGGATTTCTGAAATTTGAGAATCTTGACATGGCTCATCGTGCTAAGCTTAGCATGTCTGGTAAAATAGTGGGCCGCAATCCCATAAAAATAGGCTATGGGAAAGCAACACCAACCACGCGCCTGTGGGTGGGTGGTCTTGGACCTTGGGTTCCCTTAGCTGCCTTGGCAAGAGAGTTTGATCGCTTTGGCACTATAAGGACCATTGACTACAGAAAAGGGGACACTTGGGCCTATATTCAGTATGAAAGTTTAGATGCTGCACAAGCAGCATGCACACACATGAGAGGCTTCCCACTGGGAGGTCCAGAGAGAAGACTTAGAGTGGACTTTGCAGACACTGAACATCGTTATCAGCAGCAGTTCCTGCAGCCTCTCCCAATACCACCATTTGACATGGTGGCTGAGTCATTTGTCCACCGTGCCACACCTGAACCACTGAGGGTCAGGGAACGAACTCCACCGCCGCTTCACTTCAGGGAGAGAGAGCTGTTTCCTGGAACTGACTGGCCCAATCCTGCTATTCGCGAGCGAGTACGTGCCTCACCTTTTGAGCCTCTGGAGCATTTGGACCGTGAGAGGCGAACTCGTGAGCCCTGGTCTTTGGAAAGAGAGCTGCAGGGGCGAGAGCCTGCGCGAGAGCCTGCTCGAAAGCGGCGCATATTGGAGGACGGGCGCCACATAGACCACTCCCCTGACAGCACTGAGAGGACAGTAAGACGCAGACGTGCTTCTCCAGATGGCAGTCCTGGAGGCAGCAGCAGAGATGGGGGGCGCTTTAGTGACTCAGAACGCCCCCTGCGGGGCGAGAGAGCCTCTCCTGCGACAGAACGCCACAGCAGCCTTGAAAGAAGCGTGTCAGACCGAAGGCCCAAAAGCCAGAGTCTGTCTGATAAGGGACTTTCAAGCAACATTATTTCAGCAGTTGGAGAGCGCAAGCGCAAGGCAATCGATGGTGGCAAAGGACCAGCCAAGAGAGAACGTTCTGAGAGCAGCTCAAAGGGAGGCCAGCCATCCAAGCCGGATGGCACCAAACTCAGTTTGGCGTGGCATGGTATGCTATTGTTGAAGAACAGCAACTTTCCAGCCAACATGCACCTGTTAGAGGGAGACCACAACG